CCTAGAGGAGGGATCGCTGGGTCGTAGGATTTTTCTATTCCCAACGGGTTGAGGAAGCTCCATGCTTCCACGCGGCTGCTCCGCTTTGACATCTGTGAGAGGGCTCCAGCCTCGGCAGCGTGAGTGAGTGCGTGCGTGCGTGCGTGGTAGCATCTCACTGCTCAGGTGTGATGGCCAGCACCGATCGGTTTGGACTCATGTTGGCCGTCTGGACATCATCTTTGGTGAACGGTCCGTTCCGTTTGGATTAGTTCTGTTGTTGAGGTGCAGACGTTTCCTGTAATGCCTGAGAGAGAGTCCTTGTTTGACATGTCATTGCCCAAACCCTTTTCCTACCCGGGGACTGTCTTCACGCGTGGTGAGATCTTCAGGCACATAGGGGTCTAATTGTAGGGGTCCGGTCATCTAACTAGTCTTCTCGGATTGTTGCTGGCTCTGCTGTCCTCCAGGGCTGGTGAGGGGGGGATGGGGAGGATGGGCATGGACTCATGGCAGCGAGTTGGCTTATCGTCTTCGTCAGCCTAGGAGGTTCGGGTCAACACTTGGAGATTCACTGTGGCAGGTAGACTTGCCATCCTAGCCATCCATCAGTGACATTGAATGGCATTAATTACACTCACTTTGCAGTGGTGTGACTTCAGACAAGTGACTTGGGCCTCCTTGGGGCCTGCCCATGTAATTGAGGACCAGCTTTCCCTCCACCTGCCCTCAGGGCGCAGATGAGAAAATGTGATGTGGGGCTGTTTTCAAGGGTGCTTTGCAGCGTTTACAAGTACCTGGGGCTGCTCTAGCTCTGCTCGCTTACCTTTTGCAATGGGAGCACGCTACCTAAACGTGTCAACTGTATCAAGTTGTACAAACTGGGTACCAAACAGGAGGACAGCTACCTGCATGGCCCTGGAGGACACAGCCAGGGCGTCACAGGGTTGGTCCCCTGGAGGCTTTGAGGGGCAACTGTCCTGTGTCTGTCCGTCGCTAGTGGCTGCAGCTGTCCACCTGGGCACCCCGGGTGCACAGTCATCACTAAGACCTCTGCGTCCCCAGTATACTGGCTGAGATTAGGCCTCGGTTGTGCGCTCAGATGAGCTTTGGGCTGCTAACCACAAGGTTGGTAGTTCAAACCCACCAGCCGCTTGGCAGGAGAGAGGCTGCTATCAGCTTTTAAAAAACCAACGGGTGTCTCTCTGTGACTTGGAACCCACTGGACAGTTGGCAGTGAGCTTGGCTTGCTCTGGTTTTGACTCCAGGGTGAGCTCACCTGAGCCCCTTTCCCAAACAGGCTCCCTTCTTAGCTCAGGGTAGGCCTTAAGCACGTGTTGGGGCTATGTTCAGCAGGGCACAGGAGAGGCTGCTCCAGCTGCGGCCTATCCCACAATATCCCAAAGGCCAGGGGCAGTCCCTGTGCCCAGCACGCGGCTGTCAGTGCCCAGGGCCGCAGGCCGGGCCTGCTTCCGTCAGTGACATGGAGAGGACTGAGCTCCGATGGGGACAGCATCTTGCCAGCTCCCAGAGGGGCAGCGAGTCGGTGGAGCGGTCAGCTCAAGGATGGTGGTCACAGGGCCCTGGGCAGCAGAACCCCTTGTCTTTTCTGAGTCCCCAACCTGCCAAGTGGCTCTGTCTCTTCTCCTGTGGACCATTGGGGTGGGGGGTTGTGGTGGGCAGAGGCACTGGGCCACCAGGAAGTCTCATCATAGGGGCCTGTAGTGATGGGTACCTCTAGGGGCACCTGATAAGCTGGCTCCAGGCCCTAGGGGAACTCCAGCAGTGGGTGGGAGTGGGGGCATGACCCTTCCGGTGTGACCCACATTCTGGGTCTGAGTCAGTGGGCAGCACTTGGGTGGTGATGCTGAGGGTTGAGGAGAACTAGGAAACTGGGCGGGGCAGCCTCATTTTGTGCGGGAAAGAGGGGCTTCCTTGGGGACCAGCATGGAGCACAGCCCCCTCCCTCCAACTGGGAGCCCAGTGCAGGGGGCAGCCAGCCAGCTGAGTGGAGAAAGGGGTCGCCTAGGGGTCAGTGCCAGGCACAGAAAGGGGACCTTCATCCTGTCTGGGTCACTCTGCTGCAGCAGCGTGGCCCCAGGAGCAGGCCTGTCTCACTGACCGATGGGGTCAACATGACCAGTTGGCAGGACTTGCCTCCGCCGCCGGAGGGGAAGAAATTGCCCTGGTCGGGGGTTGGTCTGAACCCAGGGCCCACTGGGTACAGGCGGCCGGAAGGATGCAGGCTGGCTGAGGGAGCTACAAGGCCAGAAGTCCTGGGTTGGGCAAGACTGGAAAGGAGGCGGGCCCGCCCCGGACCACACCCCTGCCCTCCTTCCGTGGTGCTCATTGTGGCTGGGGGAGGAGGGCAGGAGCTCTGGCTCAGGGGAAGGTCACCAGCAGGCCCACCAGCTGCCAGGTGTTGGGAGAAGCAGGCGCTGCGTGTTAAAGGTCTGGTCTCTGACTTGGAGTAACCTCTTGGCAGTGGGCTGGGGGAACGGACTGCTCACAGGAGGAGGTCTGTGGAGGCCTCTGCCGGCGTTTGGGTGCACAGTCCAAGTCTGCCCCACTAGGGGCACACCCCCTGCCCAGCCCCTCCACCTGGGCTCATAGGGTGGGCCCTGGTGGAGTCCTGGTGCTAACAGAGCAAGCTGGCCTGCGGGGTGAGGACCTCCCCCAGGGGCAGGTGCAGCCGGGCAGCCAGGAAGTGCTGAGGGTGAGGTGACCCCGCCCCCCCCAGGGGTTTCCAGGTGGAGGTGGTCCCATGTGGGGAGGCCAGTGGAGCATGAGGCTTCTCCGCGGAGGTCTACAGACCCTCAAGAAGAGGTGGTCTTGCTCCATTGGGCAGTGGTACCCAGACTTTTGGGGCCAGGCTGGTCGGCCTCCCCACTATGGAGGAGAGGCCCTGGGAGACGGGGACTGTCCTGTGGACCGCTGTCCGAGCTGCTGCTGGGCGGGGGAGCTTGATAGCACCCCTCCACCAGTCGGCGCACCAAAAGGGCGGGATACCTGCTTATCAAAATATTTTATATTTTATTTAGGAGACCCCACAAAAAGACCCTCCATCAGATGTCCCAACAATATATCCTTGGCCTTTTTTTTTTTTTTTTGGTCTTTTCTGAAATTTTTCCATTTAAATCAACAAACAATTCAATGCTTAAAATAAAAGACAGGGATTTCTCAATCAGACTTTCGTCAAGAATATATATATTTTCTGATCCCAGGGTGGCAGAGGGCGCTGCAGGGGCGGCGCCTTCGGGCTGCTAGGCGAGGACGGCCACCCTGGGAGACGAGTCCAGTAGCACCCCTGCCCTGCTCAGGGAAGCAGTGCCCTCCATCAGGGATGGGGCTGCTTTTCCAGCTGAGAAACTTCTTTTCCTCTTTAAAATGTATAAAAAGGGCGGGCCGTGGCTGGGCCGCTACACCTTGCCGGGGATCTTGGCGCGTTTGCGGGCGATGGCGTCTTCCACGGCCTTGAGCTGCTTCAGGAGCTCCTCACGCCGAGACAGCGTGCTGGCCTTGCCCGGCTTGGCGCCTGGGGTGCTGGCTTCTGCAGCCTTGCCCGGCACACTCGTGACTTTGCTGGTGCCCTTGGCCTGGGGGGACAGCTGGCGCTTCCTGTGGGGAGTGGGGATGAGTACCGCCGAATCCCCCGAGAATAGGATGGCCCACGGCCATCTGCCCAACAGCCCCCTCCCTCCATGACCAACACAGGTAGGTACTCACCTGTCTGGCTGTGCTATGGAGACTTTGGGGTTCTGACCTCGCTGCCGCTCTGACTTGGGGGAGCTAAGCCTGCCCCCTGACTTCCGGTCCCGGGAGCCTGCAACACAGACAAAGTCGTGATGTCTTCGGGCTTGACTTGGCAGGTGTGGGCGGCAGCCTCCCTGGCCAACAGACCCTCTCACCTCGGTCCGGGGATAGGTGGGCCCTCTTGGCAGGAGGCGGGCTCTGTCTGTCCTTGTCTGAGGGCTCATAGCGCTTCCTGCTGGCTTTGTCTGCGGCCTGTGACAGAAGAGTGGGCAAGGTGGAGGAGGGGGCTCCCAGACCGCTGACAGGAGGGCGGGCCCTGGTGACTGGGCCCATGCAGCATCCCGGGTGGGCAGTGCAGCTCAGGAGCGGAGGGAGGGGTGGCGGGCGGGTCTCTGCGGGACCCACCTTGTTAAGCAGCGTCAGCTTGATCTCCTTGTGGGGGACAAAGGCAGCCTGGGGCGGCTGGCCAGGCGGCACCTGCTGCGGGGCCCTGCCGCCCACCGAGGGCTTGGCAGACTTGGGGGGCTGTGTGGCCGAGTCCCTTTTCCGTTTCTCCTCCTTCTGGGCGTCCTCCTTCTTGGGCTTGCCTGTCCCGCAGACAGACCCTCGGTCACTGGGTGCCCCGGGAGACGCAGGCACCTCCCTGCCCAATCTGCCCGGCGGCACCTTTCTCCTTCTTGGTCTGGGCCGGGGTTGGGGAGCGCGAGCTGGCCGAGGAGACGGGGCTGGCCAAGTCGGCATACATGTCCTCCGAGTCCACGCTGTGTGCAGAGCTGCTGCTGGATGTGGCGCTGGACACTGAGGAGACGCTGCTCACGCTGAGGGACCTGTGGGTAGAGGGGGCCGCTCTCATCAGCGAGCCCTGGCGGGCACATGGCTACGGGGGGACCAGATGGGAGAGCCTCAGTCATAGCCGAGTGGGCACCCGGGGATCCCCTGGACGTTACAGCACAGTCTCGTGTCTCCTCTGCAGACAATCAGCTGGTACTTGGGTGTGTGTGTGTGGGGGGTGTTGGGTTGAACCCACCAGCAGCCCCAGGGGCCCTGATCCCAACAATGACCTGGATCTGGAGCTGGAGCCGCTATAGCTGGAGCCGCTGCCGCTGCCACTGAGCGTCCTCCTGCAACAGAGGGGTCAGACCAGGCAGCCCGCAGGGAGGGCCAAGACACAGCCACCCTGCCAGCCAGCTCTCACCTACGGGGGGGCGTCCTGGCCTGCCGCTCCTTCCTCCTGGCCTCTCGAGGGTCCCCGGGCTTAGGCGGCTCGGGGGTGGGGGCCGTGATTTTGGTGGTCGGAGGCGGAGCCGGGGGTGCAGCAGGCTTCTTCACCAGCTTCTCCCTGTGAAGGGTGGGCTCAGACTTGGCAAGGCCCGCAGCTCCTCACCCCGGGACCCTGCCTCCATAGGCAGGAAAGCTGTCTTATTCGGTCCACGGCTTCGGGGATGACCCCTCACTGACCCTGTGACGGCGGGAGCCCCCACTGCGGGCCTCCTGCCAACTCACCCTGCTTTCCCGGGTGGGGGTGCTGCCTCCCCCTTGGCTCTGATGGAGCAAGCAGGGGGGGGGGGCGTGGGACACAGGAGGCACTTTGGTGGCCCAGTGGCCTCCAATCGGCCCCCGACATCCTCTCCCAAAATTGTCCCAAGGAGGAGGGGGGACACTGTTCAGGACCAGGGAGAAACTACAACTGGGGGTGGGCAGGGAGGGAGGGAGGGAGGGGTGTGTGTGTGTGTGTGTGTGTATCACTGCCTCTGGACACCAGTGAGTAGACAGCATCCACTGTGACCACATGTGCTGGGGACCGGGCACCTGGCCAGGAGCACTGCGTGAAGGCTATCTGACACAGCCCCCTGGAAAGGTGCTGGGCAGGGTCTAGGCCCCAGCCAAGGAGATCAAGGGCAGGGAGAAGATGGGGAGTCCCCCCCCCTCAGGGACAGGTCCTGTGGGAACCCAGGAGACAAGGCTACACTAACTGTCCCACCCTCTGCTCAGACAACGGGGGCGGGGTGGGGGGCAAAGGTTGGACTCCACCCGGACCCCTGCTGCCTGATGTGGCCAGGAAGGCCATCCTGTGCGCGGAGGGGCAGTGAGGCTTCACGCAGCATGGCAGGTGTGCTGGGCAGAGGTGCCCTCTGGCGGTGCCCTGAAGGCCACGGGGCAGCGCGGGCGGGCGCACCTGGAGCGGCTGCCGGAGAAGGAGCTGCGCCTGGAGGAGCGGCTGGAGTAGGAGCTGTAGGACGACGACCTGGAGTGGGACCGCGAGGAGCCCGAGCCCGAGTAGGAGGACGACCTGGAGGACGACCTGTCGCGGGAGGACACGCCGCTGAGGCGACGGGCGCTGCCCAGAGCATGGGCGCCTCGCCACTATGCCCACAAACAGGAGGTGCGTGCTGGCTGGGCAGGACCAGGCCTCAGGTGGGCCTGTGCTGGGGACCAAGGTGCGCCCTGCTGCCTCGGGCTCAGCATCTCTGGGCTTCTGGGCATAGCTGTGCTCCTGGTGCTTACTCTCCTCTGGGGGAAACCCCGACTTGGTGCAGGTCCCAAGCGCTCCCTCAGTCTGCCCAGCGGCCGAGAGCACTGGACTGTGCCTGCAGGGCACACTGCAGCCTCCTACTCGTCGGGCTGATGCTGGTGCCAGCACGCCCCACGTGGCTGTAGCCCATGCCGGCCCGTCCCCTCGGCCTCTTTACCTGGATGAGTTGGAGGCGGAGGCCGAGGAGGCGGATGTTTTTCGGCGCCTCCGGGCCCGGCTGGGGGACACGGACACACCCAGCTTCTTCTTGGGGGACTTGGATCGGCGCCAGGGGTCCTTCCACTCATCTGCTCGCTTCACCTGGGGGCCTGTGGAGGCTGCCTCCTTCTTTGGGGGCTCAACTTGCCGGCTGCAAGACAGACGACTTGGTGGGCCGTGGCCTTGTTAGCAGGAAGCCAAGACCACTCAGGCCCAGGTAGAGCCAGAGGACAGACCTACGAAGGCGGTCCCAAGAATGGGCTCCGGGCCAGGTCAGGCCTGCTCAGCCCCGATGCTGCATCCACCCAAGAGGCAAACAGGACAGGGCTGCGCGCCGCACCACAACGGCACCTCTACCTGGACACTCACTTTCATGGATGGATGCCTGGGATCTGGGAGGCCAGTCCCTAAGAAGCAGGCTCAGTAGGGCAGGAACACCAGCTCTCAGGCCCTTGCAGGGGCCGCCTCTCTGAGGTGCACTGTGCACACCTGCCTGTGCTTACAAGCCATTTGCCTTTCCTAAGTTCTCTGCTGTCTGTTTCTAATAAGCTTGGGGATTTTAGGGACTGTGAGCCTTCGGCTGATCCTGTGGGGAAGGAATAGCAAGGCCAGCAGTTGGAAACCATCAGCTGCTGCTTGGGACCCACAGGGACAGCTCTCCGCCCTACAGGGCCACCAGGACCAGGCAGAGTGGGTGCATGCTCAGGCTACCTGCTAAGTTTCAGGAAGAGGTGGTGGGTGACAAACCCACTCTCCACGGGCCAAGTCTGGTTCCTGCTGCTGCTCCAGCCCACTGCCCCCTCTCCCTCCTTAGGGCTGCTCACTCACGCTTCCTGGCAGGCTGTCTCCAAGCTCTCACATGGGTTCTGCCTACTGCACCTCCCCCAGACCTACAGGCTCCTGGTTTCTTCTCACATGAGAGAATAAGGCCTCACTTCCAACCCAGGGGCTTGCTGCCAGACCACTCCCCTCCACTCCTACTGCTGCCATCTGTCACTAGCTCTGCCACCCTCAGGAACCCCAGGAGATCCAACCTGGCATGAGGGGTGGGGTGTGGTGTGGTTTAGAACGGGTCCTAGTTGGACCAGGTCTCTGCTCTTGGGGCCTCTGGGGTGGGGAAGCACCCTGCTGACTGACCCTGTCACTCGGTTATCAGAACCATGTGACAGTTATCCCCAACACAGACCCACCCAGACCCGGAACCCACGTGTGCAGAGAGCACCAGGCTGGGGGCCTGCCCCTGGCAAGAGGAACACAGGAAATGGCGTGCATGGCTAGAACACAATTATCTTTAGGGCCATGGGATTCTCCAGGGTTAAAGTTCACCTCCTTGTGACATCAGCATACCTCACACCCATCACGGCCCCTGGAAACTCCATGCCAGCAGCTGCAGGGAGGGGTGAAGGCCAACCCCAGCTCTCCCAGCCCCACAAGGCTGCCTGGTGAAGGCCAGCTGAGGGCACTGGGCTCCTCTGCTGGGCTGATGCCTGAGGCGTGGAGCACCTCCCACGGGGATCCAGCCCCCAAGGCCTCCTCCCAGCAGTTGCGTCTGACTCTGCAGAGGGTCTTGGTGACAGCAGACCCCTTGCCATGCAGCTCCCACTGGCCCTTGGAGAATCCCAAGCCCACCCGCCCCCACCCACGGAAAGTGGAAATATGGCAAAGTGGGTTTCTGGCATGTGATGCCACGCTCCAACACTCTAATCTGGAAAACTAAGAAGGTATCCCCTGTGCTCAGACACCCTGGCTTCTCCACACCGGGCGCCTCACAAGCAGGGCTTGGTGAAGCACAGGGTTAAGCTCCAGCCTGCTGCCCAGGAGGCCAGTTGCAAGAACCCCCCACCCCACCCCACCCCCGCCAGCATTGCTGGCAAAGACCGAAAGCCTTGGAAGCCCCACGGGGTCATGACGAGTCAGAACTGACTGCACGAGGCTTGATTCAAACAAGACGCCACCTGCTCGCAGGCACTCCTGCACAAAGCGCTGAAGGCTGGTCCACCTCACCCCACGGCCTCTTAGGAAGCAGTCCACTGGTGGGTGCGCTCAGGCCTCCAGGCTGGGGAGCTCCACTGGGGCAGGGCTGCCATCCGAGCCTGAGAGCGTGCGCCATGGGGACTGGCGTGGGAGGTGGGCCGCCCTGCCCGTCACGCTACCCTGGAGAGCCCCATGGCCACAGGCAGACACACCCAGAGGTGAAACAGGTGTCAGTAGGATGAGGGTTAGGCCGATGTGCCCCTGACCCTCTGCTAGTTACCTGGGAGGCACTGATCACTGTCTGGCCCCAATGCTACAAGGGCCCGTGTCGCTCCAGAAATCAGAGCGAGCGGCCTGCGCCCAGGAAATGAGGACCGCAGTCTCACGTGCCCCCAGCCTCACTCATGCCGGAGAGGGGGGCAAGTCCAACACCCCTCTAGACCACCTTGGGAGATGGGTGCAGGACACCCTGAGGCATGAGGCTCTCCTCATTTTGGGGCTCCTAAGCCCCAGCACCTCCAAATGGTTGTCAGCCAGATCGGGGGCAGAGGGTTACCCAGTGTCCCAGGACTGGTGTGGTTCTCTGGGAGAAGGTGCTGCCTCCACATGGAGGTGAGCTGGCAGATGGCCTACTGGGGAACCCGGGGTGCAAGCATGCTGCCAGGAAGGCAGCAGCTCCAGCCCCACTACTATTTGCTATTTATAGCTCGCATGCCTCAAGCAGGGAGGCTCCTGGAAAGCCACGCCCCTGCAGGAGGTTTCCCGGGTTACACAGACCCAGCTTCCACCAGAAAACAGCCCGGGGACAGGGGCGGGCAAAGGTCCCCAAAGGTGTCCTGTGGAGGGGAGCGGCTCCTCCCAGCTGGGAAGTTCCCAGCAGGCCATGAGTGGGCAGCGGCCTGACTCTGGGCAGCCTAGGACAGCACACAGTGGGGCAGCACACTTTGGCCCAGTCCTGTGTCCACTCCCGGCAAGCCATGCGGGGTACAGACAGTGAGCGCATCAAACACTCCCATGGCCCCAACTGAACATTGTCACTCCACCTGGGAGACCAGGTCTCCCCTCCAGCAGGTCTGTGCCCAGGAGCTGCCAGGACACCGAGGGCTAGGACTCCTAGCCCTGGACCAGGAGCACGCGGCAAAAAGGACACTGGGAACCAACGTTAACGTGGGGAACAGGGGTGGAGCGCCCAACCCTATGGGCGCTGGGGCTCTGTCTCGGCACCTGCGCGCTGAGAGCACAGCATCCAACACAGCCCCGAGACAGGTGAGGGGCGGGACCCCAGGAAGCCTCTCCCTCCAGGCACGCCCACACGGCTGGCTCCTCTCCCTCTGGCGTCTGACCATGGAGACAGAAGCTGCGTGCGTACCTGGGGGGCTGCGGGGAGCGCGGCTTCGGCTTCTCCTTGTCCTTGTCCCGCTCGCGGTGCGGCCGCTCCTTGTCGTCCCGCCGCTCGCGCTCGCGCTCCCACTCCTCCTTGCGCCGCTGCCGCTCCTTGTCGCGCTCGCGCTCGCGCTCCCGCTGCTGCCGCCGCTCCCGCTCCCGTTCGCGCTCCCGCTCCCGCTCGCGCTCGCGCTGCCGGTTCTCCCGCTCGCGCTCGCGCTCCCGCTCCTTGGGGAAAAGCCACAGTGAGACACAGGTGGGAGGGGCGCCAGGGCAAGGTGTCCCCGCACCACCCATGGGACAGGCCACCCAAGGGGGCTGCTCTGCGGCCTGGCCTCGGCCAGAGGGTGCCTGACTGGGTCCTTCTACAGGATCGGTAAAGGGGTCACGGGGTGGGGAGGGCTGGGGGGGTGACGACAGTCCGCGCCAATGTGTGACCCCTGCCCACAAGCAGCATTCTCGCGACCTGAAGGCAGGCCTAGCCTGCAGCCTGCGTGCTTGTAAGGGCAGCACGGGCAGGCTGGGAGCACACACCCAGCCCCAGGCCAACAGGGACAGCTCACCCGGTAGTTGTGGTAGGGCTCCGTCTCCGTGTACTGCACCCTGAAGTTCTCATACTGGCCCCCACGCCAGAAGCGCTCCATCTCGTAGTCATAGTAAGGGTCGGCATAAGGCTCAAGTCTGCACCAGAGGGAGGGGGCGGAGGCTCAGCACCACGCGAGGCCAAAGCGGTTCCCTGGGAGCCATGGCACGGCTTCCAGCATCAGAGGGCGGCTGCAGCCAGGTCTCTCCTCTCAGGGACACACTTGCCCGGGCCCTTGCTGGCACCCTCCAAAGACCTCCAGCCAGCACAGGAGCTTCTGAGGGGCTGGCTGGCCAGAGGTCAGCTGAAATCACACCAAACAATGCTCACAGAGGACGCCACTGGGGAAAGAGCCCGCAGACACGGCAATGACACATCAGACCAACGACTGATCGCAAACCTACAGAACACCAACACCTCAGCAAGCAAGAGGCCAACGTCAGCCAAGGGCAGAAGACAAGGACAGACAGGCCACCACGATGACAGGAGGCGGGCAGACACAGGAAGACAAGCTCCCCGCACACCAAGGTAGTGAGCTGGCTCTGTAGACACTGTTGCCAAGATCAAAAGAGCAGAAAGCTACCCAGGCCAGAAGAGGGTGGCGGGAGACTGGGATCCTGGGCACTGCCACGGGATGTGGGCACCAAGACCTGTGGGAGGACTTAGGCACCTCCCCCAGCAAATGGGAGATTGTGCCGCTGGCTCGATGCCTGACAGAGGTGGTTACACCTTGGGCTGCAACCTGTGTGGTCAGCTGTCTGAAATCACTAGCCGCTCCGAGAGAAAGAGGATACTTCCTACTCCTGAGCAGCCATAGCCTGGGAAACCCACGTGGGAGGGGGGAGGGGCTCTGTCCCAAGGGTCCCTGTGAGGTGGGGTGGACTGATGGCAGTGAGCAGAAATAAGGATACAGCAGGGACAGAGAGACAGACAGAGAGGTGCTCCCCGTGACCATCGCGGCACTTGTCAAGAGAGCAAAAGGAGGCACCCCACAGGGGACATCGGAGCGGGAAGCGGGACCACATGGTGCCACAGAGCAAGGGTGACCCAGAATGGGGGGGGTGTGTGTGTCATTGCACATGAAACCAGTCACACACAAAAGGACAGAGTGCATGAGACCAGCAAATACATAAAGATGAAAACCAGTCTCTGTCTCAGAAGCAACAGACTTGGGGTTGGGGGAGGTCCCAGGCTGGAGGGTGGACAGGAGTCCCAGAGGGTGGGGGAAGCAGGGAATGTCAAGGGGTGGCTGGACAAGTCACTGTAGGCAAACACGATGTGACGTGTCCTCTGATTCAGGGCAAAGTTGAAACAAGACTGGGCCACCGCCTCAGCCAGCCCGGGGAGAACCCTACGTTATTCCACAGGGTTGCTTTGAGTGGGAAGGGCTTTGGGGGGGTCCTACAGCCCCGGCTGCTGACAGGTCAGATCCCTGTGTGGGCAAGAGGCCCCAAGACCCCATGATGTCACAAGGAAGCCAGCTGGCCAGCCACAGAGATGGCCTGGCTGTCTGACGCAGGGGTGGGAGAGCGGCAGCAACGTCCCATGTCACACAGTCCCTAAGGGGCGGGGCACCGCCCTGCGCTGAGGGACCTGCACTGCGCAGGTAGGAGACAGCCCCTGCCTCCCCCCCAACCCCCGCCCACCGCCTGGGGCTCACACACTGCCTTCCTTACGCTGGGTCTCGGACATCCCTGGTGACACGGTAGTTCCAGTCTCGGAAGCCCTCGTTCTCCTTGTCCAGCTCCCGTTCATCCTCACCGATGGTCACCGTGAACCGCTTCTCCTCAAAGTCGGGCTCCTGTTCCTTCCGGATGGTGGCTTTTTTCAGCACCTGCCACACACGATGAGGAGTCAAAGGACCTGAGTCAGAGCCTGATGGTCACTGGCCGGCACCCCAGGGACTGGGCCATAACCCACACCTACAGACCCCAGACCTCCTGTTCAGGCCTCAGCCATGAACTAAGCCTGAAGTGCCCACTGGGACAAGGCTGGGGGTGGGCAGAGGGAGAAGTGGGGTGTGTGTGTGCCCCAGGAGGCCCCTCGAGTCCAAGGAAGCTGAGCATGGCAGGTGACCAAGAGGACATTGACGTGCCGGCTCACCGGGGAGGGCCCGCTGCTGGGGTGGCTGGGGCCCCTCTCCCGCCCAGGGTCACCCCCTCCCTCCCTCGGTCACCTCCTTCGCGTGCCGCAGCCCTCGCTCCCAGGCGCTCTCTGTCGGAGGTTCTGGCGGGGGTGGGGGCAGGATTTCATCCACGACCGGTCCCCCCTGTTAAAAACACAAGGGAAAGGAGGAAAGACCATCTCAGAATCGAGACACGACGCACGGCGGCCACATTGCTCTGGGGAAGCTTTTAGAGAGGCAGACAAGGCCCGAGTCTGCCGCCAGCTTACACGCACCCAAGGATTGGCAGGCATCAGCGGGTGGGGGCCGAGTGGCGGGGCACCGTTGGGTGGGAAGGGCTCAGCTTTGGTGATGAGGGAGTAGTTGCCCTTGTCGTTCACACCGGGGTGGACGAACCGGCAGCTCATCCCCCAGGTGCAATTCCCTGTGGGGACAAAAGGGGGGCCAGCAGTGACTGACCATGATCCAGGACCTAGGGGGGAGCGGGGCGCGGGGAAAGGGGCGCGCCGGGATGGTCTGTCTAGGCCCAGAAACTCTGGCAGCCCAGGAGGGTGGGTTGGCCGAGCCTGGGCCTGGCTGAGGGCTGCACTCCCCTTCAGGAAAGGGAGGCCGAGTGCCAGGGGGCACAGGGGCAAGGCTGGGGCCCATGGGGCAGCCACGTACTTTACACTGAGCCACAGGACCGCAACTCTTGCGAACAACCTCAGAGGCCCCTGCAACAGCTCTCGTTGCCCAGACCCTCACAGCCCCCTTCAGGGCACCGCCGGCCATCAGGACAGGGTGCTGGAGAACACCAGCCCCTTGGAGAGTGGCAGCACAGCCACAAGACAGGAGTCCTCCAGGACGTGGAGGAAAGGCCGCTGGTGACTCAGCTGGGCCGGTCACACCTTTGCAAGATGCAGCACCTTCTCACACACCCACCGGGAAAAATGCAAAGGACCCGCTGCCCTCTGGCTCAGAGGGACCCCGCAGGAGGGAAGGACTGCTGTGCTATGGAGGCCGTAACTCCCCGGAGAAGGCCCATCTCCCGTCCTCCTGATCCGCTGAGCGCCAGTGGGCCGACTCCTGCCTGTGCCGTGCAGTGAGCAGCCCAGTGCAGAACCCCAGACACAAAAGGGTGGCGCCTCCAAGTGTTCAGGCAGGCTCCCAGACCACACTGCAAACGTGTTTTAGCGTCTACTCTCCCTGCCACGACGAGCTGCTCGAGCGCGCCTGCCAACGCCAAGGACTCAAGTTTCCCCTTGATGCGACACAAAACAATCAGAAAGAATCCGCTGAAGGGGAGGCAGAGGATAATTTTTACCTTGAGACACGGTGAGCATTTAAGTTTATATTAATAGTAACTTTCAGCAGAAAATAACATATTGATCAAAATTAAACGCTAAATATACTTAAAATGACAAAGTAACTCCTTAACAAGTCTGAGAGCAGACTGCTGGTCTTCAGCAGGGGCTTCTGGGCCAGTCTCAGGGTATGTGAAAGATACTAAGCTTTCCTTTAAGAAACTATGCCCCGTTCTGACCTCATTAAATCCGAATTCCTTCCTGATTGGGGGTGGGGTGTGTGTGTGTGTGTGGTGGGGGGCAGGCAATACACACAGGCAGATCTGAATTTCGACATGAGAAAGTAGAAGTTGCTTCCCTGAGACCATCTCTGGGTTTCCACTGATCAGAAGGAAGGGTGGCGTCGAGGAGGGAGGGTGGTCGTGCCATGCAGTGGGCAGTGGCATCCAGCTGCACATGCGGCAGCCACCTGGGGCATGCTCAGCCCTGTAATCTCAACAATAAGTTATCAAGACAAAACCAGCCACATTCTCGCTGCACCAAGGAATCCCTTGGCGAAGCTGGTGCTTCTAGCGGAAATGCAGGGGTGGGCAACCGGCAACTCAACCCAAACCCACTGCCAGCAAGCCAGTCTGACTCTCAGCGACCCTGCCGGGCTGGGTCCATCTGTCCGTGTGGATCCCCAAGACTGCAATTCAGTAAGGGAGCAGAGCCTCTCTTTCTCCTGCAGAACAGCTGGTGGTTTTGAACTGCTAACTTGGCGGGGAGCAGCCCAAGTTGTGACCACTGATCCACAGGGTCCCCTGGACGGGGAGTCGGACCTGGTGCAGCCACAGAGGTCATTCTGACCCCAGGGAGCTGAGGTGGGTCTGACACTCTGAGGACAGCTTTCACTCAGAGAGGAAAGACAGTCTGGGTCGGCCAGAGCTACCAAAGGCCATGGCAGGGCGGGAAGGAGGGCGGGCAACCTGGGGTGTCTGTCAGCAGAGCTTCATAGACCAAGGTGTGTGAGGGTGCCTGCCCCTGCACCCCACAGCCTGCTGCTGTAAGGCTCACCAGGCAGTGGCGTGCCTATTTTTCACCCAAGGACAGAGAACCACCACAGGTATGTGTCCTTGGTGAGTGGCCTAAGGGTCATCCACGCTGCGGTGTGTCTGGCCCACTGCGAATACCGAGAGGTTGACGCCCCACTGCCTCATCACTGCTCAGGCGATTTGAGGAGCCCTGGTGGTCCCACTCCTAACCTCAGGGTCGGGGTTCGAAGGCCCTAGCTGACGCTCAGGAGGGCGCTGCCGGCCCCCAGTCAGGACAGTCTTGAAGGAAGTCACTGGGTTTGGTCCCACAGGCCCTCTAGGAGTCAGAAATGCGTCATCTCTACCGGAAGCCAGCCCACTGCTCCTGACACGCCAACCACAGCAGACCTAGCCTGGGAGCCTGAGCCGGCACCCCTGCTGCTCTCCCACTGCCGAGGCTCCCTCCAGACCCTCCCCCGCTGTCCACACCTCACGGGGTCTCCCTGGCTCGTCCAGCAACAGGCACCTGCAGCTTCCAGTCACGCCTCCACTCCTGTCTCCATCAGTCAGTTCCTGAACACCAACCCTGGGCACACACTCCTGCTGGGCAGGCCCTCAGGCAGACTTGTGAGCTCCTGCTCGCCCTCCGGGTCCCTCGAGGTTCCCCTCTGCTCTCTCCAAGCCACGATGGGAAAGGGCCGTGGCACCGGGAAGTTCTTGCCCCTCAGAAACCTCTACTCTATTCCTCCTAAAGCAGACCACGCACCTGCCAGGCTCATAAACCCTTTCCCCCACAACCTATCTTGCCCACCCCAGCACCTACTGCCCCTTCAGTTAGCTTCACCTCCCTCACCACTCCTTAAGGACCGTCTCGCAGCACAGCAAGAGTGACAAGCCAGTCCACATGCAGGACCCACTCGCCCACGGCCCAGCCTTCCCAGACAACCCTTGGCCCCAGTTGTAGCCTCCCTGCAGCCAGACCCCATGTCCCACTGCAGCCCCACCCCAAGTGCTCCCTGCTACCTCTCTGCAGCCCACACCCCGTGTCCTGCTGCAGCCCCACCCTGAAGTCTGCACCCCGAGTGCCCTGATGCTTCTCTGCAGCCCGAGGCGGGCCCAGGGCCGTCTCTGAGCTTGGAGGTGCTTGACCCCTGCCCCAGGCCCGTCCTGTGCTGAGCAGGCTGGTGGCCTGGGGAGGGCTGAGTGCCTGGGTGTACCTTGGACCTGGCCTCTGAGAGGTGGGGTGTGTGCTGGAAGGAGAAGGGGTAGAGGTGGCCCAGTATCTGGAAGAGAAGCACACAGAACACCGTGAGGCTGGGGCCGTGCTGCGGGGCTGAGTGGGGCATAGGAGGGCATGGCTGCCACCTGCCAGGGATGACAGACATGTCCCTTCCAATCGCACGTGCAGCCTCACCCCCACGGGGCCCTCGAAAAGGCACCTCACCAGGCCCTCCTCACGTTGCCCCTGCCCAGCTGCTGGGCACACGGCATCCACGCATGGGACAGCCAGCCAGCCACCCTCCTGGCAGTCCCATTTCCCCATGGCATGTGTTCACACTCAAAGTGCTGGCCTTGAGCTCCTGACCCTGCACGCCCCCACGGTCCACACCAGTCTGCTGTGGTGGCCGGTGAGACACGGACTGTGCAGCCCCCCCGCAGCCACTCCAGGTGCCTAAAGAGTTACCTTTCATGAAGAAGCGGCAGGTGGGACGAGGTCTCACCTTCCTGTCACTGGGGTCCTTGACCTCGCCCTCCTCCAGGTCATCATCCTGAAAGGGAGTGAGGGGAGTGAGGAGACACAACAAAAAGAGGCTCCCCGGAGAGTGAGGGGGAGCCACTAGGCAGATGGTACGATGGCAGCCTCCTGCCGGGATCTGCACCCACCGCCGGACTGAGCACACCCGACTGTCTATGTCTGCGAGCACTTCAGCAAAATCCCAGATGTTGAGTCTCTTACATGGTGACAAGACGTCTCTCACTCCCAGGGACACAGATCTCAGTGCTGAGGACGCCTCTGGGGCAGGACTCAAACCACTGGGCCCCAGGCACCCCCCGCCTTACCAGGTACTACTGGGCAATAGCTGGCAGGGCCACATGGGCCCGTGACTGGCTAGTGCCCAGAACATACCAAACTGCCGGCAATGGGGCAGATTGTCCTCATCCCTCACTCTCTGGACCCCTTGCCCACCACCTCTCTCCAGCAGCAGTTCCCAGGGGGCAGGGCTGCTGGCTTCATGACCCCCATCAAGTCCATGCCAAACCACCTCTGCCCATCCTGGCCGTGGGGTGGTGAGGTTAGCCCTACCCAAGCCCGGTTGGCTATCTCAGAGGGCGCAGCATGGTGCAACAAGGCCAGCAGGCAGCACCCAGAAAAAAAGCTGCTGCTGCCAAAGCAGGGGTTGCCCCTGCGGGGAACACGGCCCCGCTCACCCCATTCACTTCCTCCTTTAAGCCAGGATGTGCGCTACTGCCACGACAGTGACAAAGGTGCCCACGAAGGCAAGGCCACCACGTGGCAACACTGCATCACACAAGGAGCCTGGCTGAGCCCGGGCCTGTCACAGCTCCCTCACCGTCACCTGGGGCCCAAGACAGAGGTGGGAAGCTGGGACAGCCCACACCTCCCCAGAGAGAAGCAGCTCCAGCCATCATATGGCACTCAAACTTGCTGCTGCCGAGTCAACAGGACACAGGACTGGGTAGGACTGCCCCTGTCGGTTTCCAGGGCTGCACCTCTGTACGGGAGCAGGAAGCCCCATCTTTCTGCCAGCCATCACACTAGAACGAGTTAGTAGGATGTTGGACCTGTCTGCCCAGAGTGACAATATAAATATCTAAATGGCGCTTCGCAGAAAAAGGTTCCCCATCCCCAGGTTGGACCTTTTCGAAAACCCTGGTGGCCAGGCATGCGTTGATGTTAGCAAGGCCCCCACCCAGAGGCTCGGCGTCAGAAGTGCCTGAGGCCCTGCAGGACAGGGCAAACCTCCCTATGCGTTTCTGACACTGTACACTCGTCCCCTCACTGCCACTGAGTGACTGAACTCACAGCAGCCCTGCAGGGCAGGGCAGAACTGCCTGGTGGACTCCTGAGGCTGTAAGTCTCCGTCGGAGCAGGTAACCTCATCTTTCTCCTGCACAGGGGCAGGTGGATTTGAACTGATGATCTGTGGTTAGCAGCCCAATGGGTAAGCCCTCCACCAGCAGGGCTCTGTGTGGGCACCATGAGGGCCAGGTGAAAGTCAGCCCAGTCTAGCTCAGCCCAGGGGGCAAGGGAAGGCCCTGGGCAGTGGCTCCCAGGGCCAAGGAGGGAAAGTTCCAGAATCCCCGTTGTCTGCTTTCATCACTGATCCTCTAGTGAGAGCAGCGATCCACGCTCCCAGGAGCCCTCCGCCCTCAGCCACCGTCTCCGAGGATGGCCTGCTAAGGCCCACTCCGCCCCGATGGCGGGACCCTCTGCCCTTCCCACTCACGTCGATCTCTCCATCATCGATCTCTCCGTCGTCCTCCTCTTTCTTCTTCTCCTTCCCGGCCTCCTCACTCCCCGCCCCCGCCCCCTCTTCGGGGACCCCGCCCGGCTTCTCGTCTCCCTCGGTGGCGGCCCTCTCGCCCCCCTCCTCCTGGGTCGCGGGTGCGGGCTCCTCAGGCACCTCCTCATCATAATCCAGTTCATGTTCGTCTCCAAGCTCACTGGCTCGCCCCTCCTCGGCACACTGGGGGCTCACGGGGCCCCCACTCAGCTCGTTGGCCTCTGAGTCTGGATCCTGAGAATGGGGCTCACTAGGCGGGCCCTCTTCGTCGTCGTCCTCCTCCTCGTCCTCGTCCTCCTCGGAGCGCTCTTGCTCCCCCTGGCCCAGTCCCTGGGGGGCAGTATGGTCTTCCTCCTCCTCCTCCTCCTCAGCTCCGTCTAAATCCTGCTCAGACCCACTCTCCCGCAGAATGTCATCATCGGAGAGCCTCTCCTGCGGCGCCTCCTCTTCCTCCTCCTCCTCTTCTGGAGAGTGAGGCCCCCGATCAGGGCTCTCGGGCGCATCCATCGGGACCCACGGCTCTGCAAGAGAGGGATCAGTGGGCTCAGAGGCCGAACAGGTGGGGCTGGCTCTGGCCCCCGCCCGCCCCGCCCCGCCCCGCCCCTGACCTGGTGAGGAGAATCAGGACCTCCACGCTGCTCGGCTGCTTGGCACTTCCCCACTGCCGGCCGTCCACTGGGGAGAGAGACAGCAGGTTAGCCCCCGCCAGCACCCAGCATGGTCTGCTCCTCCAGTTGGGGTCATGGGGAGCAGCTCACCCTTGTGAGCAACCCCTGAGGCTCAAGAAGATGCCCATTATCCAGTGGGGTACCCCGGCTAGAGGTAGGCTTCACCTAGGGGCCTGTGGTCTTTACGGCCCCAGAAAACCACCTGGTGTCCCAAGATGCCTGCTAGACCTCACCAGCGGGCATCCGAGGTGGGCACGTTCAGTGCCAGGGCCGAGGTCTGGGTTGACCGGGCAGCATGCCTGAGCTGTGTGCCGCCCGTCTCTCCGTCCACACAGGACTCAGCTGCTATGCCTCACTATGCCTTGGGGGCCTTTGTTTCAGATGCAGACTGGTGAGGTATGGGAGAGTGCAGAGGCCTGCAAAACCCTTCAATATGGCTCCACCTCCCTCCCGGGGCAGACAGACGCTATCAGGAGCTGCATCCTAACCAGATCCAGTCTGTGGGCACTAGGCTTTGGGTTTGGTTTCTGGGACAGGACTGCAGGGAACCAGCTTGAAGGCCTGGTCTGAGGCCAGCAGCTATTGGAGCATAGCTGCTGCGCTGCACAGACAGACTCTTTCCAGCAAAGGCCAGGGGCCCTCTGCCTTCCTGCAGCCAGAGGGCCCAGGGGGCTGGCTGCAAACACTGAAGGGGCAGGCGGGCTGAATGTTCACTACACTTTAAAGGCAGCCTTGGAAACAAAGTTACCTTGCAGACCAGTTAACAGGGAATGCAAATTCCAAGGCCCTGGCCAGCTGTAAGCCACACCACCACCGAGCTCTGCAGTGCGCACCTGCACAGCTGCTGCCTGTGTCTCCAGGTCCAACCTGCAGGCCAGTGAGACCAAGTGCGGGTGCTGTGCCTGA